AATTACGCTCGGCAATTACGAGCAACCATCGAAAATGTAAACAAACTTGGGGAATACGCACACCCAGCGGCCCCAAAGTAGAGCGGGGCGGGAGCGGGGGCGGGTGCGCTGGCATCGCAGCGACGCAACGCATCGAAAAAGAGCACACAAAACGTTTTTAAGTTCACAAAAGTGCGTGCATAAATTGCTCGAGTCTTAGGTAATTTATACTGATTTGTTTTCAACTAAAAGGCCATGTGAAGCGTCGCACTGTCTGTCTTGGTGGCAGCTAGGTCCAAAAACTTATCTAAATAATGTCTGCAGTAAATTGCCTCAAGCATGCATAAGGTTTGGTATTTTTTAAATACTATTCAGATAAGAGTTTTAATTAATATGGGAAAAGTAAGTGCGGATCGACTTTTGTTAGCTCATTAAAATGAAATTGATAGATATTGCAATGAATATTATTCATTATATTATATTATTCATATTATTATATTATATTATAGAAAACTATTTGGTTCTGTTCTATATTTCTTGCTACTCAACATTTTAAAAGCTAACCGAATATACTCTTTTATTATGTGTGAAAGAGCGTATGCATATAATTACATTGAAGTTTTATTATTTATTTATTTATTATTTATGGCATATTCTCTACTCTTCTGCCATAAATTATGCTCGTCAATTAATGGTTTAATGGTTCGATATTTAATGGTTCTTGACTTCTTCTACCATTTGTCTTTCTCTTCTGCCCTTTTATCCACATCATCTGCCCTTTCTCTCCACCTTCTGCATTCTCTCTAAGTTATTTAATATTAGTTTATCTATGTTGCTTAATATTAAATCAATAATATTTTAAATATTTATATATACATATATATATTAAATATAAATAATATACAAATATATTTTAATCGTAGAAAAAATCCTAATTCGTTGAGAATAAATTTAGTAAAAGCCAAAACGTAATATCAATAATAATTTAAATATATATGTATATACATATAATAAAATATATATAACATAAAAATATATTTTAATTGAATCATTGAAAATATATTTAGTGAAAGCCAAAACTTTTCTTTGACCAAATCCTAATTAATTACGTATATATTTAAAAAATATATATATAATTTTTCCTCAGGAGAATCCTAATTTATTGGATATTTACATATATAATAAATGCCATAAACTTCCTTACAAAAAATCCCCAATCAATTATTTATACATTTAGTAAAAGCCATAAAGCTCCTGTAAACAAAATCCACAATTTCTATGCATGATTTAAGCCATATAACAAATGTACTCGAATATGCACAAGCCAAGTCCGCTTGGCCTTGAGATATCAATTCACTTTCTACGTGGCAGGAGTAACCTTAATCCGTCAGAGTTTTGACTTTTGCGTAGCTAAATTGAATATCAAATCAAATACATATGCTTAAGCTGCGACGCTCTGTGCAATTCCCCAAACAAGAAAATACACTGACAATGTGAGCTCTGTGTGTGCGTGTGTGTGTGTGTGTTTGTGGCACACAGATTGCCAAATTGAAAGTGCAATTAAATAATAATTGAGGCAAAATGTATGCGATTGCAGGCAAAACATGTTTTGTTATTGATATATGTATATGTAGAAAATGTAATTTCAATATAAACTGGGTCACTTGCATACGAATTTTGTGGGGGCAGCACAGGGTGGCTAATGACATAATCGGAAATCGAAATTCGTTAACGTCTGCTGCAGCTGCAGCTCGCCGTATTCAAATTTGATTTGATGCGCTTTAAGTTGTCCTAAGCGACTGCAGCTCATTAGGGTCACAGCAGCGGATCGAACTCATTTATTATGGCCATATAATCTAGCTGACAGGGTGAAAGAAAAAAATCAAGAAAAACAACAAAACATTTATGTATATATTTTATATATATTTACATATACATATATCTTGTTGACGCATTATGCAAAAATTTTGTTCGCTTTTATCAAATGTTGCTGGCTAACTAGTTCGGTCTTTTGTAAGCTGCATATTTAAGTTTTCAGCTCGCAACGATTTGCATATTTAATAAACCGCCAGCAGCATTCAAAGAAAACCTTAAAATGCATTTTTCTATTAATTTTTTGTTGTTAAATCGTTTCACATAAAAAATGCAAAATCAATGGGAAATAAATGCGCATAACGTTTAGCGTAATTATCTTATGCAAATATATACATATATTATAATATTAAAAAAAAAAAAAAAGAAATATCAGCTGCCATTGATAACAAAAATGCCTTTTGTTTTTTTTTTTTGTATTTTTTTGTTTTATTATTCATTTTTAAGGTTAATTGGGTGCTGATGCGCATTGAGCTGCCTGCGGGGCAAGAACTCGGCGACTGAAATCGAGATAATGAAGCGCTTGAAATAAATTTTATAAATTTCAAACTAATCATATTTTTTTCCCAGACAGCACACATCATTTTGTTGCTGTTGTTGTTGTTGCTATTTTTAATTTAATTTGCTAACAATTTCGCACATCAGCTTATAATTTGTAGTTGTTTATTGAAATTTTATAATTGATTTTGAAGTGAAGGGAATATATTTTTTATGCTTATAAATAGTCGATTGTCTATTAGTTTATATGTTATTAATGAAATATACGGCATAAATAAATTAGTCGATGTTGCTTAGGAAGCTATTAAGAAGTCTTGGATTACTGCTTAGCTAGTGAACAAAATTCTACTATTTTTTTTTTAATTGCTAGCTCTTTTAATTTTAAATTTGACAGCTGAACAAACCCTTTTTCTTTTTCAGTTGCTCACTAAGTTTTAGCAAGTAACTGACTACTCTTGGGTGCTCTTTTCCTTTTATTTTATATAGAAAAAATTTCAAAAGAAAATTAAGCAAAGCCTACACTAGAAATCATCCTCCTCTGCTCACGCATCGATTCACACAAAAGTGAGTCTCTTAGCTCTCCAAAGATCGAATGAATTAGCCGACTTGCTCTGATCTGACAGCTAACTCGCATTTAATTTCATTTGATTTCAGTTTAATTTCATTTGATTTTAGTTTCATTTTGCATTTCATTTAATTTCCATTTTGGGCATTTAAATAAAATGTGAGCTCATAAGCTAGATTGGTGAGGTTCTGCAATAATTCTTTGTCGAGGTCTTTACTCCTGAACGGAAGGAAAGTCCATGCAGAAGAGTTTGAGGCTTAGAAAGAATATTCAAATATTTATATATTTATTTACTTATTTATTTATTATTTCATATTTATATTTATATATTTATATTTTCAGAACGGCAAATCCATGTAGAAGAGTTATTTATTTATTATTTCATATTTATATTTCCCCTCTTGATATTACATGTCTATAGCCAAGCCGTTGAGAGCAAAGTAAATTATTAAAAAAGTATATAAATCAGAATTATATGGATCAAATCAACAAATTGTGTAGAGATATTTCTCTCGCTCGATTTCTCAGTACTATATAAAGCAAGCCTTGCAAACACATTTATTGCGTACAAACAATTTAAATTAAATTTAGCTTTTTTTCAAGCAGAAACGGAACAAATTCCCCCCTTTTTTAGCATTTACATTTTTAGCTAATTTATCACCAACAATCGCATTATTTTTAATGTTTTACTTTAATTTAATATCAATTTTTATCTATTCGAAAAAAAGTACAATATTTATATCGTTTAGATGGCCGTTCATTACGGATGGCTGCGCAAATTGTGCATTTCCTTTATCAATTTATTCTACTGTAAGCCGCACAAATGCAAATCATCGCAGTTGCATTAGCTTTAATATTCAGCTTGGGGTTGGCTTAAAGCCCGCCCCATTAAGCATTTAAGCCCCGCCACGCCCACTGTGATGTATTTATAGCGGTTATACGTAGTTTTTCCGCTAGTATTTTTTTTTAGTACTTTTTTTTTTTTTAGCCCCATAAGCCCGTAAGTCAAATCGTTGCGGCTATTTATTTATTTATCAACACAATGAGCCAGCCCTATGCGAGCGCACTAACTATTCCCTCAGTGCGAGCTATTCGAGGCTCAAGTCCATTTCCTTGGCTCATTTAATTTCGCTAGCGGACCACACACATCGCTCGCCCTTTGCTGACTTTTTTTTTCTGCCACTATTAGTTGTTCAATTTGAGTCTGAGTTTTTTGTTGTTGCTGCTGTTGCTGTTGCTGTTGTTGTCCTGCTCCATTATGCGCGTCCATTATGCCTCTGTTTGCCTTGATAATGCGCCACGTCCCAAGTCGGCGGCGTCTTATGGCATTGTCAGCTTTTGCCGGCCGACTGCCTTTTTGTCATTTCAGTTTTGTTGATTTTGCAAAAAAATAAAGAATATTTCCACCCACCCCCGTCCACAAACTACCTAGTAGAAACCTTGCTCCCGCAAAGACGTTCGGGCCAATGTAAATAATTTATTTATGGTCTTGTTTGTTTACTTCTCCCATCGTGGCATTTTCCTGCCTCGGCTTGCTCGGTCTTGTTTGCCTAGAGCTTAGAAGGTGCTGCCTTTGGCTACCCGAAAACTCTTACAGCTAGATATACCAGACCCACTCTCTCTCTCCCTCTCTCACTTATATACATATATGAGAAACGTGTGGCATTCGCATTCACTTTATAAATAAGAAATCAATTGATTTGGTTCAGGCGCAAGTTAAGAACTGTTGCCTTTGACAATATTTGCCAGTCCTTAAGGCGATTAACAGCGATTCCATTTCAGCTCTCATGTAAATATCGAGGCTTTAAATCAAAATCGAGGCACATGCGTTTTCGGCTTGTGTCAACAAGCAAAATGACATAAATATTATTTCAGTTTCACTGGAAACGTTGATTGAATAAAGTTAATTTCGCCGTCAGCCCGTTGGCTTTGGCTCAGATCTTTTTGATTTTCGTTCATGTTTGCGTTTCTGTCTGGTTTTTAAGTATGTATTTGCATTCTGGGCAATTGCAATTTGTGGCGTGAGAAAATTCCAATGATTCCATAAGCCAAACACAAAACTGAAAACTCTTTAATGAAGACTTACCAAAAAATGCACAATTAAATGAATGAATTGGCATTAGTTTGTGGGAGCAAGCTGTCGCGTGTAAGCAGGCATTGCTGTAAGAAGAAGAGGAGAGAATTATAAATTAATATAATATAATATATAAGAGAAAACTAATTAACTTTTGTTTAAATAGTATTACCGAGCAAATTCGCATTGAGCTGAAAGTTAAATTTGTGAGAATCGCATAGAAAGGCGCACTAAATAGCTGCAATCGGATTTGAAAGGCTTTCAATTGGCACTCTATAATATTTGTTATTAATTTCAACCATATTTATAAAAGCCAGCAAGTGAGAGTCGCAACTGCCCGACTAGGTAATACTCCGCACCTGCTGAAACCATTTAAATATTCCCCATCTCAAAGCAAACATTTACTTTGCGATGCAAACGATAGTTCAGCCTGTGCTTTGAACTGCCTTCAACTTTGGCCACACACTTTGCCTATCTCTGAGGTCAGATCAGAGAGTTGAGAACTCTAAGGCAATGTTGATGATGATGAATCATTGGGGCGATTATATATGGGCTGACCACGGCGCACATGCCAATTATGCAATTTTCCACAGACCACAAACACTTGTCGCAGTTAGCCAAAGCGAAACGTATCTGATGATTCACACAGCTCAGGTATTTCATATTTGTAGCAAATTGTGCGATGCCAGCAAGGCTGGCCGGCAGGCAGAGATTGACTCAACGTATCGGCGCATGCAGATGAAGAGATACAGATGCAGGCTAGGCACGATAAGCGAATCAAAGCACAAATCTTACATTCGAAACAATAAAATCTGGCTGCGACTGACTCTGACTCTGCTTCTGTCTCTGTCTCGTCTTACAGACAGCTCATATCAGATGAAATAAACACAGACAGAGAGAGTGAGAGAGAGGGGGGGCATAGAGAAACTGCAGATGGAGGACCGCACATGAGTTTTGCTAGAAAGCCGGAGGGGCACAGCTCGAAACATCAAAAGCCACAGAGAGAAGTGCCGCCAAGCTCACTCGACACTACGTAGCTGTAGCTGTATCTACAGTATGTCTCGTCTGTAGCAGCTAACTGTAATTGTATCTAACAGCTTCAGCTGACAGGCCCAGGCCAGGCCAGAGACGGGGCGACAGCCTGGCAACGCGTCGCTCTGGAACTTGTCTTACTTTTTATGGCCAACTTTGCCAGCAACAACAACAACAACAGCAACAACAGTGAGAAGAGGAACGCGTGCGGCTTTGCCCAAGTATCTCGAGGAGGCGTCGCAACGCTTCGAACTGCGGGGCCACCCAAAAATGGTCAGCAAAGCGCCACCAAATTGACTGCCAGCCCCGCCATCGGATTGGATGCGACCACAGATACTTTTCTATCCCAGTTGGGGCAGTACTTGGCTCTGCTTTGCGCCGCTGCGATGCCATTGAATTATTGTTTGAAATCAAAAACTAACCATTATTTACCAGCCGAGGAGTGCCAAACAAAAGCCAGCAGCAAATAGCTAAAAACAATGTCAGCGAGAGTTGCCCCAAAGATTGTGAGAGGTAGAACAGCAAGGGGCAGTTGAGAATTGATAAGATAAGCGAAGGAAAATTCAAAATAAAATTTATAGAATATATAAAAATAAATGAATGAAAAGATAACTAGTTAAAACTCTAGATTAAACTATAAACAATTTAATTTAAAATAAAAAAAAAAGTAGATATAATATAAAATCTTTTAAATAATTAAATGGAAATAAAAAGAATCAATTGAGAACAGATTCTCTTTTATTTTATTAATATTGTTTTTGTTTTATTAATATATAAAATAATGTTAAAAAATTATTATATTTTTCCTTTTAATTATATTTAGTAATTTTTTATTATTTTTATTTTTATAATTAATATTTTTTTATTACTATTAATAGTATTTATTTATTAATAATATCATTTATTTATTATTAATATTATTTATTTATTAATAAAATCATTTTTTATAATTTTTTATTATTTTCATTTTTATAATTAATATTTTTTTTATTACTATTAATAGTATTAATAATATCATTTATTTATTATTATGATTATTATGTTATATTATTATTATGTTTATTTTTATTGCCATTATCATTAATTTGAATTTTAATTTTTATATTTTTTTTATGGTTTGGTCTATAGATTACAAGCATTTTTTTTAAATATTTAATATAAATATTAAAACTAGAAAAAACAAATATTTTACCAACAAATCTACCTTCATTCAATATTTTTTTCTGAATACACCTGCCAAATTTTTCAAACTGCCCTCCCCGATTCAGCAAGCGGTGGCCCATGAAAGTTGTATTGAAAGGCGGGCGACAGAAACAGAGAGACTCAGCGACAGATACGCCAGAGTCAAGACAGCCAAAAGACAACAACAACAGCAACAACAACAGCAGCAGCAACAACAAGTTAGCGAGGGGCCACAGCACAATTGACTAGCAAACTGGAGCTGTACATCCTGGACACTGTGTGGCAGGAACTGGCACGCCCCCCACCAACCGTCCCCGCCCCTCAACAACAACTGCTTATTGCCAGGGCAAATAATAACTTATGTCGAGTGTCAGGCCAAAAAAGCCGTAAGCGCTACGGGAAATATTTTCAGTGTGTGCTTTTCCTGTGCTCCAGTATTTGTTGTAGTTAGCCGTCGACGTGTGTGCTATATACAATGTAAATAAAAAGTCTAGCTATTGTTATTGTTGCTGTTGTTGCTGTTGTTGTTGTTGTCTTTTTTGCTGGCCTTAACTTGGTTTTCTCCACAAGCTCGAGCTCTGAATGTATCTCAGTATTTCTGCAATATTTCAACATGCCGGCGCGTATCTACTGGATGCCTGTCTGTGGCTTTTTATTTTTCTACATTTTTTGCTCGTTTTTCTTTTGCTGGCGTATCCGTTATTGAACTATTGTGCACTGCACGTAATTTAAGCCCGACACGCCCCCTGCCAACCAACTATATCTCAATTTCCCCCCATTTGAGTGGATTTCGTCGTCCGCTTTGCGCAGCTCGAATCGAAAAATTTGCTTATGAAAGGGAATTTTCTATGAAAGTAACTGAGTAACCTGAGCACAAAGTTCGGCCAACAGTTAAGTGCAAATTATTAGACGAGAAATTAGTAGAGCGAGCGGGCGCACGAGCGAACGAGCGAGCAAGGCTGCATATAACCAGCAAAACGTACCCAATAAAAAGCGAAGAGAACTTTTCAGCAGCTTTTTGTGGCACATTGCGGTTGCATTTGCTAATGGAAATTGTTTTGAGGTACGCAAAAGTTTTGCTAGCTTTTTTTTTTTTGTTGAGAAATGTGGAAATCTAAAGCAAGCAATGTTATGCAAAAGTTCTTTTTTGTTAATTGGGCGTTGCCGAAAATGCAGTAAAAGTAGAAATTTTATAAAAACAAAAGACACATTAAGCAACATTTATTATAACAAACAATATTTTTCAAAATATTTGTATATACAAAAATAGTTTTAAAAAATATATTTAATTAAATATTTTAAAAAATATATATGTGATTAAATATTTTTTTAAAATATTTAAAAATAATATAATAAATCAGATTTAAATATTATTTTTAAATTTAAAAAAAAATATTGAATAAAAAAAAACAATAAAAATATTTTAAGAATAATTTATCTTTAAATAAAATATTACTAAATTTTAATATTTTTCAAAATGTTGATATATTAAAAATATAAATTAATTTTCAATTCTCTTCCTTTAACTTCAATAAAATATTTTTATATATTAAAAATTTTACAAGTTTTAATTAATTTTATATATTTAAGTTAATAAATACAAATATTTCAAAAATATGTATATTAAAAAAATTTATGTATTTTAAATAGAATAAACAATTATTTTTTTCATATTTTCTATTTCAAAAATAAACTTATAATTTTTTATTTAATTACATATTTAAAAAACAATTCTTTTAATTTAATTAGACATAAGTTAAATATATACTTATACTATATAATATGTCAGAATTATTTTTAAAATTAGTAGTTAAAATTTAAGCTGACTCAAATTTAATTGGAGTATTTTTCTCTAAAGGCATTTTGGACTTGCTGTCTTGGCCGCAATTTCAAATTGCCATTATAAATACTAAAACCAACACTAAAATGCTTGCACACACACACACGCACAACTTGAAAAGCAATTAAAGATTTAAGTCTCAGCACAATAAAAACAACAACAACAAGAAACGAACGAACGAACATCGAGTGGATAGCTAAGCAGGATCCAACAAGCTGCAGCAACTGAAATGGATGACCAACACGTGCTAAGCTCATTAGATGCTCTGATTTCTCAAGCCATGCGGCGGGGCGGGTAAAACGGCAAACTTTTGGTGCCACATAAATTCTGGCAACAAACTAATAACCAATAAAATGTCTTAAGCCGTCTAAGCTCATAAATGCTATTTTAAAATACAGCCAAGACAGATCTAAGAGAGCGGAGCCAAAGGGCAAACAGCTCGACCTGCAGCCTTTCACATGCATACACACACACACACATACACTCAAACATATAGTTGTGTGCGCTCATATATGCTTGTGTCCATATAGATTGTATTAAAGTGGCTCAGGAAGCCATTCAAGTTGAAAAGCCCTCTTAATAAGCGTTGGCCTGGGGTCTGCAGCTGGGCTCCTTAGCCGGCAATGCCAACAAGTGGCCCACAGTGGGGAATAATGGGAGTTGGGGCCGATGCAGAATTAGAGCGAGTTGCCTTTTCGTCTGATGTTTGAGTGAATGGAGTCGAAAGATGAGCAAGAGACGCGTCGTCGGGCCAGCGAGGGCAATGATTGGCAGCCAAAGAGTGCTCAGCTCCCACTAACCCTCCCTCTGCTCTTGCCAAACAAAGACCGGCTGTAAAATAGAGCAATGCCAGAGCAACGGCGACGTCAAATGCAACAGCAACAACAACAGCAACAGCAACAGTTGCTCTGTCAGTTACTTGGACTTGCGGTCGTTTTGCTGTGCTGACACAAGCGAGGGTGGCCAGAAGAGTTTTAAGGAGTCAAGTTGAATATCAGCTGGCCAAGCTTAAGTTAATATAATAATAATAAT